TAAAGTAAACGTTAAAAACGAACTCTGATATTCTGAGAATGTTACAAAATTAATTTCTCTTTGATAAACGTTTTAGTTATTAAGTTATATCATACTTGCGTATGATATTTAAAAACATTTTTTGCTGCTATAATAAATATATGCAATAATCTTCGCTTAGATTATATTATTTAACAAACATCAATTTTTTTTTTACATTTCGATGATCAAAATCGTAATTCTTATAGATTATTACGCGCTTAATACGAATTCGAAAGCCGTTTTCCTTTATTACTATTATTACTATTATATATCCTTTATATTATATAAGGATATTAGAGGATATATATATTAGGATATAAATATATATATTAGGATATATAATAAATGAATTAAGGATATTATATAAGGGGTATTATAAAGGATATTATATATCCTTTATTACTATATTACCTTTATTACTATAGGAAGTCACTTTTTTTGCGCTTAATTGTTAGAAGCTGTACGAATTATTCTTATGTACCATAATCCTGTGAATTCAAAACGCTTTTAACGAATCAATTCTGTAGAAAATTTTTCAATTTATTTTGAAAAAATTAAAAATCCAAAGCAACGCGCCACACTGAAAAAAAGTAGAACACAGATTTCGATTCCGATTTAAAAAATTTTTGACAAGCAGGTATACTGATCATGAGGTAAAATGTTGCTATTTCTTCATGACGACTATACTCGTCGTAAGACAAAATGTTGCCTTTTCTTCATGACAAATACAGCTAACTGGTTTAGGCGGATGTATTCTTTAATATTCTTTATTAAATTATATATTTTATGAAAGTGACGTATTTAAACAAAATGTGGAGGAAATGAAACATATACAGTATAGTTACAATAACTTACACACTTTTCAAGAAGATTGCAACAGCTAATTGCTCTACACTAAAAGCACTTCAAGTTTATCATAGTACTTACTGTTGTGCTTTATTGAAGCATTTACTGTCACAATCTTAATAAAAAATGGCCAGAACACTGCAAAGTTTTAATATCGACAATTTTACTTTTATTAAAATTAAGTATTTTATTTGAGTATTATATTTAAGTATTTTACTAACAACTTTCGGATTTGTGTTCAGTGTAACAAAGTCGATAAGAATCGATTACTGGTTATCGAAACATAAAAGTAGTATTAAAGAGATTAGATCTGCTTTTACTATATTCTTGGAAAAAGAAGCAAAGGAGTTTTTGGACGACGAAATTTTTCTCTTCAAATTCTAGTCTTACAGGGTAATAGCATGGAAATGCAAAAAGAAAACTTGTTGAATCGTGTTAAATCTACATGTTAGACCAATTCTATTATAAAATATGAAAAAACCCATAAATCGAAATTTCTGAAAATTAATTTATGCCCTGCGGGTAAATACAATTGTGATATGTAAAAATGATCCCTTTGTTGAAAACAATTATTTGTATCATAGTAACAAAGGAACGGTGCTGAATGTAATAAAAATTTCGTATTTGGTATAATATCTTTATAAAACTTGAACAAGTGTTATATTTTAACTTTGAAAATTGCACATCCTAAATGAAATGTTGCATTATCGATTAACGCTATTGATAAAGTTACATAAAATCACAATTCCATCGCTTATCGAAGAAAACTTTTTCGACCTCGCAGTCCCATTTTCAAAGCTTAATCTACGGATTGCGGATATTTATGCAAATTCTCATTTTCCAAACATTAGAATTATAGAAAAGTTTACTTCGTCGACCATCGTAAAAACAAATAACCTTGCCAATTCATACGTTTCCTTACATTTGAAAAATCAGCAAATGAAAATGCATAAAGATCCGCAATTAATCTATGGGAAGATGAGTTTGCACTAAGATGTGCAGTTTCTACACGGTAAATGTATTATAATAATAAATTTACTGTATAAAAGAAAATGAATAATGTAGACTGGAAGAATTGTTTAGATTACATTAAAATGTCTACCAGTTTATATAAAATACGTATATATGCCAAACGAATTATCATAATTGTTGTAATTGTTTAACTTGATTGTGCGTTTTTTTTTCTAGGCGTTAGATGGCTTTCTATTTATTGTAAATACGGAGGGGCGCGTGGAGTACGTAACGGAAAATATAACACAATATATAAATTATACGAAGGATGATGTACTCGGCAAGGATATTTATAACATTATTCACCATGGAGACCACAACACCTTCATGCCGAGCTTGTTGCCTATATCATTAGGTTGGTATCTCAGATATATTATCACTCTGTTCCTTTCATTACAGAAAAGACTTGTGCAATATTTCGCAATCTATCATGTTGTGTTCTTGAGTTTGCCGATAGTACTTTGTTACGTTGTGTTGCACACATACGCACGTTTGCATTGCTGTGCCGAAGCATGCATTTTGTGATTACAACTTCTTCGGATTTATTTTCTTACGTTTACTTTGCTTTTTTCTACGTTTCGCTGCACACATTTCTACACATACTTCGCAAGGAAACATACATCTCGCGTACTTTACACGGCAAATACACGTATGTATGTATAAATAACAAATAAAACTTGTTTTTCTTTGTCAAGCTGTATTGTTTCAAGCTCGTAGATAGGAGACTTTGTAATTCCGCGGACCTAATTTTTATAAATCATGATAAGGATATGATCTCTTTGAATCTACTTCCGTAATGTATGGGGATATTCTCTGTCGGGGGATGTAACAAAATTGCTAACAATTAGGACATTTTCAGAATTAACAGTTTTTGTTAAGTCTGCATCGATACAATTTTTTATCAAATTTTATTTAACACTCGCTCGGGCTCATTGGAAACAAGAGTATAAATATTATTATTTGTCTATACAGTTTCTGGCATTTAATTTCAATTTCCATTCTTAATTAATATAGACCTTCAAATGGATTTAAAAATTTAAATTGTAATTGATTTGTAATAAAAATTTTAATTGTAATCGATTTTTATATATTAATTAATATAAAATAATTATTCATTATTAATTAATATAAAATAATTATTCATTATTAATTAATATAAATTACATTACATTAAATTATATAAAAATATAAGATTGTCTGTATAAAAAGTAACGTGTCTAGACGGAGTATTTTAGAAAATGTGTTGAAAAGAATTCATAAATAAAATTATAAATGATCTCAGAAGCATTCTCGGTTATATATTTGTCAAAAAGCTCCCAAAAGCTCTCCATTCGAGTGTTAAACTGTATAATTATTTCCAATGTTCTATCATTTTATATTTTCTTTAAAGAGTTACTTTCTATTTCGCGAATAAATACGTCCGAGTTCTTGTTAGTTGAGCCGAGAAAATTCTCCGAGTATAAAGGTTGAATAATTAAGTATTCATAAGGTTATATTATACCATATTGTTCAAGGGGTGATTTTAACATAATTTTATGCGACAAGCATAAGTACAGAAATAAACGCAACATGAAAATCGGTTCATGTACTTTATATTATAAATTTCTATGAAGTTAAAATATAGTTTCAAAATCTATTTTACCAGAAAATTCAACAGAAATCTTGGATAGTTCTGGTAATAAATTAAATCGTTTTACTTTGCAAATAAATACGTTCGAGGTTTTGGCAGGTGAACCGAAAAATTTTCCGAGTGCAAAGGGTTAGCAAGAAGGTCCACTTAAAATGTTAAAATCAAGTTTATTTGACGATTTTTAAATTGTAACTATTAAATCCAGCTCTTATAAAAATATATGACAAATACACTTACCGACAAAAGATAAAAAACTTGACCTATTGTTAACATTTGAGCAAAACTTGATATTTTAACAAAATTACATCATGTTAAACGCAAATATATTAATTTCATTTTGTTACAATCTCGTATCATTATTTCATTCATTATACAAAATTAGAAGTAATAGTGAAACACACATATGACACATTATTTATATTGCAGTATTGTTTTATTTAGTGCATACGGTAAATAAAAAAAAATTAAGATAAAAATGAAACAAATGAAATAATAATAAAAGATTATAACAAAATAATATTAATACTTGCGTTGACATAATAAAAAAATCTTTATCCTGTGTTAAGAAAGAAGGTTTACTATACTCAAGAATATACATATGTGCAACATGTTTCTTAACTATTGTCGGGTAGTGTATGCGGCTGAAATGTTATGGTTTGGTTGTACTTAGCAGCTTGTACAGTTTCAGCCTAAATGCGCTCAACGATCGATATAATTACATAAGAATTATTTGTACATAATAAAACGATTCTTTCGTCAGTGTTTCACTTATCCGTCAGGTAATTACGATAACGTACCTGCAGCATTTATTTGCCGTACGCCGTGCGCGCGTTCCTTTCAATTTGTCTTGTTTGATCGCGAGCGCCGGCAACGCTGGAACGGAAAGATTTGTATTTCGGAGTAGAAAAAGACGAGTTCGTGAAATCTCGGGAACAGCAGAAATGCAATGGCATCGGTGTTACCGTACTTTGTCAGTTTGTTTTTCAGCTAATCGCTTATTATGACGCATGGAGTCTCTTTAACTTATTGGCATGTAAAGATTACATTTCGATACTTGAGTCAAAATTTTCGAAAATTACACCACTATGAATTTAATCCCCTTATACGTGTGAACAGGGTTGAACATCATTTAAGTAAATGTTCATTTAAGCGTTTATTTAAATGAAAAGTTATTTGTCATTTGGAAGTTTAATTAAAAGACAAAGATAATTGCTTATTATTTATATAGATAAATATATAAATAAATTATTTGAAATATTTAAATTTTTTCTTATTTATAAACATTATTTAAATTGTTACTTAGTGATTATCATTTAATTGCTTATTATTTATCCGACACAACGCGTCGAGCAGACGTCATAGTCGAAAATTAATGGTAAAGACACAAGTTCTCCAATAATAATAAATTGAGATTAATATTTATTACACAATAAACGGATGAAAACAAGAATTACTTATTATTTGTTTTTCACCTAAATTCGAATAAAAAATAATATTTTATTTTAGTCGCGTTTTTATAGCTCAATGGTACTACTATTAATGTTTTTAATAGTGTAGCAATATTTCTAAATTCTTTTTACTGTTTTGTTTTTCATATATTTAGGTTTATTACAAATGCATAAAATCCGCAGTCTACTCATAATGCTTGCGAGGATGAATCAAATATAAATGGGAACTATTTTCTCAATTTTACTGATATGAAATTAGAATACAAACAACTTACACCACTTTTCAACATGATCAACAACTCTTTTAAAATATCTATTTTTCCCATACGATTGGAATTATTTTGATAGCATCATTTTTTTTTTAAAAAAAAGAAGAATGTATCTTGAGCAAATTACGCACAACGATTACGTCGAAAACCAATGTAAATTGTTTATACTTTTATACCAATTGAATTGAGAAAGAGAAATTCTCGTTAAATATAAATATTTCTAGTGTTTGCAAAAGATTGTTTGGAAAATATAAATCTTTAGAATTCAATGAATCGGAATCGAAATTGTAGACCCATTAATAGTTGCAGAAACAGAAATTTGTTTTTCGTTACCATTTTTTCATTACCATGCAGAGAAAATTTTTGCACGAGCGTCAACTAGTGTGAAGGACTACATATTTTATGGTACGAAACTGATCGATTCGGCATAGAATAGTCCCCAATGCTAACTGGTGACAGTCGATAATGGATACACATTTCTCGCGATAAGTGTTAAAACGCCTATCAAATACAATGAAACTTGTTACAATAAAGATAATAACGATGGACTCGATAAAATATCATTCGAGGATTATCGAGACTCAATGAACTATGTTTGCAGTAACACAAGATAATAAAAAAGATTGCGAAATTTGTGGCACACGTTCAATAATACACAGCAGGTGTCCTAATACACGTTAACACTATTCTTATCGATCTTTTGTACGTACTTATTTTTATCAAAATTAATTTTATATAATCATTATAGGAAAAGTCAATTGAATGGAAACTTTGAATAAGGTTCTATGTTATATTTAAAATACATGGAATATGCACCGACCCACCGGAAAGTATTTTCAACGGAACATTTTCAAACGGAATAATTTCTTCTGAAATTAGTGCAAACGATTACAATTTTCTTGAGATGCTAAAGGGACTATGTAGTTTATTAAACAATGTTTAAAACAATTTTAGCAGAAATTGCAATAAATTGAAATGGTACATAAAAAAATATAAAAATGATGTTCATAAACTTTTTTGTTATAGCCCAGAACAAAAATTTAAACAATACGTTTTGTAGGTCTTGGTATCATACTAAAAATAATCATACTAAAAATAGTATCGATGCATTTGAGATAATAGCAATTTCAAACAATGAATTATGTCGTTATGTTTTTGTTTGCAATATAATTATTCTCAAAATACTATATGCAACAAGAATCTTTATTTTATAAAATCTTTAAATCTTTATGCTTATTTTAGAAGACTTGTACACACCAGTTTTTGCTTCGAGCAAAAATAATTCTTCAAAAAGATATAATCCTTGAAATAACGTGAAAAAAAAAATTTTATTTGAAAAATTCTTTACAGCAATTTTCTGTGAATTAATTATTATTAATTAATTATTTCCTGAGAAAGTCCTTTTTTCTTGCAAATATGTGAAATGAGTATGTCTGCGTAAATCAGACTCGGAAATCATGATTAGATCACGATAGAATTTCTAAAACGAATTGTACAATTAAAAATAATATTCAAAAATACACCGAAAGATGTAAAAATATCCAGATTTCTTATGGTTATTAATTAAAACTGTTCAAAATCGTGCAAAACTGCGATTTTTGTAATCTTTGTAGCTCATAACAACGTCAATCGATTTCGACGAAATTACCGGCGTTTATATAAATCATTGAGATATTTTTTTTAACAAAAAATGTATATTCTCGTCATTCCAACTTATTACAATTTTTGCAAGAAATTTTTTTATCATTGTCTATTAAGCTAGTCTCTCCACCATCTCAAAAAAATCTAAATGTAATATGGTCCAATCTGAAAAGAGTTAATCCATTTTAAAAGGTGTTCGTATACTTTCGTAAGCCACTGTAGAGTCTTATTCAAGATTGTCATTCGATTTAGGAAAAGTAATTAAACTTCGAATGGTGTCCTCTGATCCTTTTTTGGTCAAACTAATTTCGAATTAACATTTTAACAGACGTCATTTGAATTCTTTGGTGAAACTAATTCTGAATTAAAATTTGATAAGGATAATAAATCAACTTTTGCTCGAAGTTATTGCAAAAGGATTTGAATAACTTTTTATTATTATATTGTATTATATTATATTAGGATTATATATATATATATATATTAATATATTATATATAATTATATAATTATTAATATATAATATTAATAATTATATAATTATTATTAATATATAATATTAATAATTATATAATTATTATTAATATATAATAATTATATAATATATTATTTATATAATTATTAATATATATTATATTAGGGTTATGAATAACTACCATTGTGTTTAATCCAGGCTGGACGAGCGAGCCGCAGCCCCAGAGGAACCGTACCTTCAATTGCCGCTTCTTGGTGAAGCCTCCCGATGATAAAGAAGAGACTATGGAAGAGAAGCAGCAACGAGTATCGAAATACGAGTCGATGCAAATCTGTTCAGCTCTTTTGCCAAGTAATAGCGATCGCCTGGAGAGCGGTGACGTATCCTCTGAATCCTCGGACATCGGTCCTAGCGTAATGTGCGTGGCTCGCAGGATACCTCCGAACGAGAAACCCATTGGTTCACTCATCGAGCAGTTCACTGTCAAGTTGGACACCACGGGGAAGATTATTACGGTCGATACCAGTGGGCTATCGCTTCCTTACTCCAAGTACCTAAACAAGGTAAGGGTACGTAAAACTCCTTGTGCATATTATCTCGACCATTCCGTACACACGATCGTTCTCTAAACGATAGCTGTGATTCGGCACTAGACTCTAATAGGAAAATGGGGCTTCTGCGGATATACCCTTGCAAGGCGGTACTTAGGTTTGTTTAACACGNAATATTAATAATTATATAATTATTATTAATATATAATAATTATATAATATATTATTTATATAATTATTAATATATATTATATTAGGGTTATGAATAACTACCATTGTGTTTAATCCAGGCTGGACGAGCGAGCCGCAGCCCCAGAGGAACCGTACCTTCAATTGCCGCTTCTTGGTGAAGCCTCCCGATGATAAAGAAGAGACTATGGAAGAGAAGCAGCAACGAGTATCGAAATACGAGTCGATGCAAATCTGTTCAGCTCTTTTGCCAAGTAATAGCGATCGCCTGGAGAGCGGTGACGTATCCTCTGAATCCTCGGACATCGGTCCTAGCGTAATGTGCGTGGCTCGCAGGATACCTCCGAACGAGAAACCCATTGGTTCACTCATCGAGCAGTTCACTGTCAAGTTGGACACCACGGGGAAGATTATTACGGTCGATACCAGTGGGCTATCGCTTCCTTACTCCAAGTACCTAAACAAGGTAAGGGTACGTAAAACTCCTTGTGCATATTATCTCGACCATTCCGTACACACGATCGTTCTCTAAACGATAGCTGTGATTCGGCACTAGACTCTAATAGGAAAATGGGGCTTCTGCGGATATACCCTTGCAAGGCGGTACTTAGGTTTGTTTAACACGTTCGTTGCCATGTGACGTAGCAGCGTGTCTCGGCCACCACATCTTATTTTATCTTATTTATTACAATTTTTGCATCAACGATGCAAATTGTTTTCACGCGTGAGATACGATGGTCCGATGTAATCCGATACGCACGTCGTAATATTCGATCGTAAATTAGCTGCTTTAAAGGTAATATTGCCGTTTAATTGGTTTGAATATAGAAAAAGAAAAGTGAAAATCAGATCCGGCAACGAACGTATTGAACGGCTGCTTACCTTGTTTTCTAAATGCATTTGGTCGTAGACGATGTAAAATGTTGAATTTTTCAAGAAATTTGGTTCTTCTATTCATCAGTGTTCCAACTGTAGTTCTTGTATTCCTATTCAGAATTCACTCTCTGAATATTTTCTATCGCTGTTCGGTAATTTATTGTTGACAAAGATGAATAATTATAATAAATAGATTGCGGATTTTATACATTTACGACAAAAATGAGTAGGTCAATTTTAAAATATTATTTTCAAGTTACTAAAATTGTTAAAAATATACAGAACTTTCTACCTGATAACTGGTTGATGCAATTCACAAATGCAATTTTCACATTGCATAAAGATCCGCAGTCTAATAATAGGATAAACCAAGGCTCATTCTTTCAATTTTTTTCCTTTCATTAACCCTTAGCGCTCGGAAGATTTTTCGGATGTACCTATCAGCAACTCGATGAAAATTTTATAGAAATTGTGATATTGATATAAAAAGGTTGAATGGAAATAAAAATCACTACACTGCTGTGAAATTTTATGGGAATGAATAAATAAAAGATTTTGTGTTTTTATTTATGTATTTTACGTGATTACCTTACATTATGAACAAAAAGCTAAGAATTAAAATGAAATGATACTTTGACATGAATATACAGTGTCGTCGTATAGGCGACATCCGAGTGCAAAGGGTTAACAATAAATTTTCTTATCACTCCCTGTCTGTATTATCATATTAAGTTTCTGTTAAAATTAGTGTAAACCAAGTGTTCAAAAAGTAATGGTCAGTTGCGGAATGTAAACTTTAAATTGACACGAAAAATGTAAAAACTTTTTTAAAACAGATCGAAAAACAGTTTTCGATTAACAACGTAATCCACTAGTTTTGCGCATAGTTAAAAATACAACATTTCATATTATATTGCCAAATGCTTTTCTTACCTCGATTTTATAGTAGACTAACTTTTCTAAACCCGACACCGCAGTTAAAGTTGGCGACTATGATCTATAACAATACGATAAATTGCGAGGCTATTAAAAGTTTGAATCAGGATAAATCACGAATTTGAGGATTTAAATCAGTTTAGGTATATTATTTTGTCACTTTCATATAAATGACCTATTTATATATGACAATTATATTATTATAATTATATATAATAATAATAATTATATAATAATTATATATAAATGGAAATTTTTTCATATAAATGACCTGTGAAAAGAAATCGCTGTCTTCGAGTCTGCATTGGTGTAAATTATTTTTTAAAACTGTCATATTAACACCTTGCCATAATATTTTCTTCACAGTTACAACGATTAGAAGTTTTTCAGCTACTTAATATACAGTAATTTGTCATCATATTTGTTGAAATTCTAATAATTCATTACATAAGTTGACGTTGTTCAATATTCCTTCGCTATTGTTATTGTTTACCAGGTGGAGATATGTGTTTCTCTTCGAAACTTTTGACAGGATGTAATAATGTGATCAATGGAATTTCTTGAGTTACAATGATTACACATTGGAGGGTTGTCTTCTTAATCTGGTTAATATAACCTGTTCCTTTTTTTTTAAATAATACAGCTAAGCTTTGTTAGTAGTTGTTATTCCGGAGGTTGTGGATAGCTTTACTATTCTTCCAGGTTCACTTTCGTTTCTCTTCGATTGCTTTTACTACATTATTGTATACCTCTTCATGAAAGGAGAGAATTTTAATATTTGTGTGCACAGATTTTGCTGCTCTTTTAGCGAATTTATCAACTGTTTAATACCAACATGAGCAGGAATCCATCCGTTCAAAAGTTCAATATAAGGCCTGTCTTTAATTAAGTCGTTGTATTTTTGAATAATTTATCTAATGATAGGATTTGGTGATTTTAGGTTTTCTGTAGCTGCGAGAGTACTTCTCGAGTCAGTTAAGATGATGTATCTGTTATATTCGTTGGTTGATTTTCCTATATTCTTAAGTCCTTCTAGGATGGCATAGGCTTCACAAGAGAAGTTTATAAATGATAATGGTAATTTGATGCTCAAGCATTCCGATGGAGAGATCAACGCATAGCCCGCTCCTGGGGGTTTGTGTACTGATTACGGTCATCGATAAAAACATTTTTCAATTCCAATTCTCCATTTTCTTGTTTTTTGAATAGCGTGTCTAATATTGCTAATTGTTTCGGATTTTCTAGTATCGAAGGAGCTGTTTTACATCCCTTTAATTCAAAGATATCTGGAAGCGACGCTTCAAACTCCCTTAACCTTTTAGGCCCGACGCGCCATTATAGTGGCTTCCGCGGATATCATCTTTTAGAACTACACGCCACTATAATGGCTTGCTCTAGTAGCTCACTCGCTCATCGTTTGAAGCAAATAATCGTCTTCATATGCATTGTTTCACACTTCTTTTGTCTTCACATCGATTTTCGAAGCGAATCTTTGTTCAGGCAGAAATTAATTTAACGAATGACAAAATATTTCTATGCATTCGATGACGATTCGTTTGATTCTTGTCGGACCTTATAGTTCCGATTTATCGAAGACAAATCTGTCAGATGCCGTTAGAGTTTCCGAATACAGGAAATAAGTAAATCTGATTTTAACCCTTAAATGCATGATTTTTGTTTTGAATTTTAAAAAATCGCTTTTTATAGGAATGTAGTCATAGGTTACGTAAAAAATAAATAAAAGAATCTAGGTAATAATATTGAGTATTTATTTTGAAACAAAGTTGTATGTAGACGTTTGGTTTATTACTAAAATTATTGTAGACGTAAACAAATGGTCATGTATTTATATTATCTATTAGTATAGGAATTTTCACATTATTTATAAATGAAATGCAGCAATGCAATTGCGATTTTTGTTGTGACACAAAGCAACCTTGCATTTGATGCACTCGGTCCGTGAAAATCCTTTGCAACCTGGAAGTTATCACCCACCACATTCAAATGTCAAAAAACATATAACTTACTCGCCAAAAGTAA